AGGACTCGTTTGGCGCCCCCGCAGGAAGACGACACAAGTCCCGAATCGAGGGCTCCCTAGGCGCTTTCCCAGCCCCCTCATTGCTCGGCCCGGCCTCCCCCCGACCAAGTCCTCGTCGCCGGTCGCGTGTGCCCGGCTCCATAGCGACTTCGCATGCCCGAGCCCTCTGCGGAGTTGGTTTCTTCTGGGCCGCAACCTTGGCCTTCTTCCGGGGACGGCCGGCCTCGAGCTCCACCGGCGTCTCCCTCGTGCCGAGGCCCGGACCAGCCGGATGACGTGGGGATGTGGCTAACGAAGAGCGCCCTCCACGCACAGCAACAAGGTTCACCATTTCTGCACGAAAACGATGACCTCGGTCAGAACACAAAAAACACGAAACTTACCGCTACCCTCTTTAAGGCATACCTCGAGGCACCGGGCTCAGACCCGCCTCGACTAGCCACGCCTCAGTCATCTTCCGGATGACTCGGGAGGCCGGGAGGATCTCCTTTGGTCTTCGAAGGGCCTGGCGCTCCTCCTCACCCAGGACCGGGGCGGTGTTGTCGACAGCGCGCGCCGCCCACCGGAGCCCAAAATTCCAACCCTCCGGATGGCATACGTAGAAGAAACGCTCCTTCCACCCCTTGTTGCTAGAAGGAGCCCCATTGACCCGGAAGCCCGGTCGGGCGGACAGGTAATAACCCCCCGACCCCCTGGATAGACGGAAGTAGGAGAGGAAAAGGGACCGGCTCGGGGGAATCCTAGCGTAGTAGCATTCCCCTAGCAACGCCACCAGATCGCGCCAGGAATTTGGTGCCATCTGAGAAGGGGAGATACGCCACCACGAGACACATGAGCTTATGACTGGATGGAGAGGGAGGCGCAACCCGGCCTCGAAGGCGTCCAGGGTTAGGGCGAAGCCCCTAGGTATAGGATCATACGCCCGCTGCCCCGGCTCGCTCACAGTTGAGTCGAGGTCGTGTGGCCACATTAGCGATTCAAGGGCTTTGACAGCCCTTTCCTCGAACGACGAGCGAGGACTCGCCGGCAATGCCCTCTCTCCGACAGTACCGGAAGCGGTAGGCAAGGAAGAAAAGGGTAGAGAAAGAGAAGCCATCCTTACCATGTCTTGGAAAGGAAGGTAGGGCGGCCGATGGGTACGAAACAAGGTCGCCCGAAGAGAGGGTTGAGCAAATGCAAGTATCAGGACGTGTAGGAAGCCGATGGTGCGCTATTTATAGGCCACATCCCGCCAAAACGGCGACCCTTCCTCTCCTAAAGTGCGCTGTGAAGACGCAAACGTCACTTCGCCATAAATATAGTCTGACATGGCGGCCAACTTTCGCGTGGTGCGAAGTACGGAGGCGCTAATCATATCAGCCTCGAAAGTCGACAACTCCCGAAAGAGACGACCCCTTGAGCTTCCCCAGGAAGAAAACAACCTGGCCGCTTGTGCCCGCACACGGCTGAGCAATCGGTCACTAACCGAAACAAAGTTGCTCCTCGGCCTCATGTCGCCCGAGACCACCTCCTCTGCACGACCTGCCCGCCCGAGACGTGCTCCTCGGCCTCATGTCGCCCGAGACCACCTCCTCGGCGCGGCCTGCCCGCCCGAGACGTGCTCCTCGGCCTCATGTCGCCCGAGACCACCTCCTCTGCGCGGCCTGCTCGCCAGAGACGTGCTCCTCGGCCTCATGTCGCCCGAGACCACCTCCTCGGCGCGGCCTGCCCGCCCGAGACGTGCTCCTCGGCCTCATGTCGCCCGAGACCACCTCCTCTGCGCGACCTACCCGCCCGAGATGTGCTCCTCGACCTCATGTCGCCCGAGACCACCTCCTCTGC